TCAACCAATTTTCTAGGTTGTATCATATGGCTTATGGATAAAGGAGGGGCATTACTTAGAAGTCAAATTGAAACTGATTATGGCAGATTATCACACAGAATATTACTAATGACTCTCAAATTATCACGCTAGCAGTACAAATAACTTTGGTCTCCAGCAGCATTTCTGACTTTGAGAAGAGCTTCTTTTATGAAATAGCTTCATCAATAATTTGCAGACTTAGTTTTTTATTCAAGTTCTTCCTTGCCACATTAATGATTTCTAGTCTTAGCATTGCAAATATTTGTAAAAGAAAAATAAAGTGTGAGATGAGGTAGGACATAAATCTTAAAGTGATATCTTCTTTTGGGTAATATTTTCAGATTTCCATGAAAATGATTTTTTTTTTTTTGGTGTGTGATGCTGAAGATTTAACCCAGGGATTCATGCATGCGAGGCAATTAAGCTAAACCCTGAGCCCAGAAATTATATTTTGAATATGGCATCCTTAAATTTTATGCAAAATTTTACATGTATCTGTGTTCTTTTGAGGATGGATCCAGTTTCTTCAAGATCCACAGTTAAAAAAATACTGCCTTAGGGTACAGAGATTATGAATTGAGGGTATGCCAATTATTACTATTGTAAGCAAAGTTAAGGCAGTGTGACACAGAACATTAAAGACAACAAAATAATCTGTTTTATACAACGGCCACCTTTGGTAATATAAGAACAGCGATCATATTAATCAGGATTAAGAAAACAGAAACTTTAGGAAAACTGCTACAAAATGAAGAAATTTCCAGGGAAGTTATTTTAACTGTGATTCTTGGTCTTAAAGTCAGTTTATTATGAGAGTAAACTTTGAGTAGTTCTATCTTGATGGTTTCTAGAATTTGTAAGCTACTCTGAAGAGCAGGCACTTGCCCACACAGTTCTCCTTTTATTTTCTATTTAAATTGCAAAGGATGGGAACTGAGTTTTGAAAACCATTTGTAGGTCAGAGCATTTCTTTTATTCCTATTGGCTTATGAATGCAAAAGCCTGACTGTATCTCTTTTTGATTGCTATAGCCTACTGTGAAAGCTTTTACTATCATGTTTATTTTGAGAGAATATGTTCAGATTTCCTTGTCTCCACAAATCATGTCCTAATTCTACCCTAGTGTTCAATATCCTTTAAGTAGGATTATGTTTTTCTTTTCAAGAGTGTATCTTATCTAACTGTGAAGCATTTTATAGTTACTTATGTGAAGTCTTTTTTATCAGTCTACAACAAGGTTTCCTTAAACTGACAAAAATTAATTTCTTACATAGGGCAATTCTGCCAAGAAGAGCTCAACTCATACATGTCTCATACTGTTGGCTTTGAAAACATAATTAGAATGAAGAAATTACTGTACTGCATATACTGCTTCCAAAACATAATAATGGTACACAATAGGACTTATTCACCGGGTAATTAATTTCAGATGCTTAGCTTTCAGCAAAATAAAAATTTAAGTTTCACACTCTCTTCTGAAAATACTCATATAGCACGTCCATGTTGGCAAAATTTATTCTATATTTTAAATTCAGAAAGTACAGATTTCATTTGTGTATTAAGATCCACAGCCATTTCTACTTCTCCTCAAGATTTTCATTGGTTCAGCTTTGGATCTTCTCTACAAGAAGATTCAGGGTCACAAAAGGCACACAGATAAAAATATTCATTTTGCTCCTCCTGTTGAGTCCTCCTGCTTCAAAGAACTGAAGACATAGCAACGTACAGAAATAAAGAGTAGAGAAAACCATCTGTAGTTCATAAGTTAGACACTATCCTTTATATTTTGAACATGAGGAAGGTACAAATTTGATTCCCACAATACTGCTTGTCATTTCTAGTCTGCAAGATAAGATTTAAGGTTGAAAGTCCACAGAATCCTTCTTCACCAAACCCATTCCCTCCAAAGAGGGAAACTAATGTTCAGGTGTTATATCAAAGAAGAATTCTTG